GGACCCTGACAGTGCTTCTGCGAGAACTTCGCAGGGAAACACCTCGGGCCAGTAGGAGTGTTAGCCGCTCTTACTCGTGCTGAAGTGGTAATGTTGCCTTCCCCACTTCTGGCGTTGGCCAAGGCTAGTGACTCATCCATCGCCCCGCAGACATATTCAGACCCACCGATGCTCTGTTCGAGAGATGTGTCGGAGTCCCTAGAAGAGCTACAAATTGAGTGGTCAGGGAAGGACCCTAGAGGCTCTTGGGCGATGATTAGTAAAGGTCCTAAGGGTGAACATTTCGTGGTAGAGGTTGATGTAGGTGGCCACAAAGTGGGTGCCTTCGCGGACATAGGCTCTACACGGAACTTCATCAGTCGTGCTTGTGTGGATAGGCTGCGCTTAGGGGACCAAGTGCAGCGGCTTAGCAGATCCGTAGCGTCTACACTAGCCAACAAGCACCGCATGGTTGTCCAGGACTATGTCAAGGACGTAGTCTGCACCTTCTCCTATGGAGGAGGGGAAGTGAGACATAAAATCTCATTCCTTGTCAGCGACGAACTGCCATTTGACATGCTGCTAGGTATGTACTACCTCGAGGTCGCTCAACCTCAGTTCGATTGGGATAGAAAGGTGTTGATACACAAGCTACCAAATGGTAGGACCGTTAGACTGCAAAAGTTTAAAGCTAGCAGTCTCGTGGAAAACTACGGGTGCATGTGTGCCTCCTCTTTCTATAACTACTAAGCAGAATCGCGAGGAGGGCATGTATCTAGTCTTCTTCTCTGAGAAAGGGGAGGCCGTAAAATCACCCCTAGAGATAGAATCAATCGTCGCTCAAATTTTTGACCTTTTCGAGGAGCCCACATGTGTGTGGAAAGGGAGGTAGTCCATGCAATAGAGGTTGTCCCAGGTAGTAAGGTGCCTAGAGGACGAATCTATAGGATGTCTTCTGCGGAGTTGGATGAGCTCTGCCGCCAGCTCAAGGAACTCACAAAGAAGGGATGGATTCGGCCTAGTACCTCGCCTTACGGTGCACCAGTATTATTTGTTCCTAAGAAGGGAGGTTTGCTAAGGATGTGCATTGACTATAAGGGCCTCAATGCCATCACCGTAAAGAATGCCGAGCCCCTACCCCGCATCGACGACTACTGGATAGAGTGCAGGGATGTCGGTACTTCTCAAAAGTAGATCTGAAGCCGGATACCATCAAATTGCTATTAGGCCTGAGAACCAACACAAAACCGCTTTTCAGACCAAGTACGGTCTGTACGAGTTTGTGTTGATGCCCTTTGGTCTATGCAATGCGGCTGGAACATTCCAGCACGCAATGAATCAGATCTTTCATGAATACTTAGACAAGTTTATCGTCGTGTACCTTGAGGATATCCTTATCTTCAATAAGACTGTAGAGGAGCATGCTGAGCACTTGAAAATAGTGCTAGGTCTCCTAAGACAACACCAATACAAGGTTAACTTGGATAAATGCGACTTTGGTCGCACCAAGATCTTGTACCTGGGTCATGAAATTTCAGCAGATGGGTTGAGGTTGGATGATGCCAAAGTGGCCAGCATACGTGACTGGCCCAGACCTCAGACTGTCACTGAGGTCAGATCGTTTTTGGGGATGACGGGCTACTATAGTCCGTTTGTTAAAAACTTTAGTACTATGGCTTCCCCATTAACAAATCTAACTCGCCTTGACACCCCTTGGGAGTGGACGGAAGAGTGTGAGGCAACCTTCAAGAAATTGAAGTATGCTCTAACACACTATGAAGTCCTCAAACTTCCGGATCCTGAGCAGCCATTTGTAGTGACCACAAACGCCAGCCAATTGGCATAGGCGCGGTCCTTGCGCAGAAGGAAGGGAAAAAGTTTAGGCTGATCGAGTACATGAGTAAAAAGATGCCCTCTCGGAAACTGGCCAGATCTACTTATGAGCGCGAGCTCTATGCCTTGTATTGAGCGCTGGTCCATTAAAGACACTACCTCCTGGGCAGATTCTTCTATGTAAGATCTGACCATGAGACCTTGCGTTGGATCAAGACACAACCTGTACTCTCAGATGCCTTGAAACGGTGGATACAAGTGATAGACCTGTATGACTATCAACCTGATCCCATCAAGGGAGAGTATAACAAAGTAGCTGATGCACTATCGCGTAGGGCAGACTACCTGGGCGCGCTAGTAATTGAGTTTGGCATATCTGACGATGTAACTCGATCCTTGGTGGAGGCCTATCGACAAGATCCAGTAATGTTTGAGATCATTCGTAAATTAGAAGCGAAAGACAAAGTAACTTCTGACGAATTTACAATGGTAAATGGCTTGCTGTTTCTTGAGAAGGCAAGGAATAAAAGGTTATGCGTCCCAGATAGAGAGTCTCTTCCTAGTTTGTTTTTAGGAGAGGGTCATGATGCAACTGGCCATTTTGCTATAAAAAGACATCAGCTAACCTAGTGCAGAGATTCTGGTGGCCCATTATGATGCAAGATGTAAAAAGGTGCTTTGAGACCTGCCAGGTTTGCCAACGGGACAAAACTAGGACTCAGGCTCCGCTTGGGCTAATCAAGCCCTTGCCGACTCCTAGTCAAAGTGTGTCCCTGGACTTCATGGATACTCTCGTGACCAGCAGGAGTGGAAAGAGACACATCTTCGTTATAGTTGACCGCTTCTCGAAGTATGCCAGACGAATAGCTATGCCAGAGACCGCTAAAACTGACTACGTCATCAGACTATTTATGGAAAACTGGGTACGGGACTTTGGCTTACCTATGTCCATCGTCAGTGATAGGGATGTTCGCTTTACTAGCGAACTGTGGCAAAACACTGCCCACCAGATGGGTACCAGACTGCAAATGACATCAGGGAATCACCCTGAGTCAAATGGACAGGCGGAACAAATGAACCGAGTAGTGCAGCACCTGCTTAGGCACTACATCAAGCCAAGCCACGATGACTGGGATGAGAAACTACCTCTCGTCGCCAGCCTGTACAACAATGCTGTACACAGCGCTACTGGCATGACTCCCAACCAACTGCATCTTGGTTGGAAGACCCGTTCCGCCGTTGATTTCCTACTGCCTGAGAACCAGGCAACTGCAGCACCAGGCAGCGTAGAATTTGCTGTCAAATGCGAACAGATGCTGCAGCAGGCCGTTGAGCACATTAGGAAATCTCAAGATGCTATGATTGCATCTGAGAACAAACACAGACGGCCTTCTAACTTTCAGGTAGGGGACAGGGTCTGGGTAAAGTCATCTGAACTGGGACAGGAAATGGGAATATCTAGAAAATTAATGCCACAGTATTTCGGCCCCCAGGAGATCCTAGACATAGTCGGGGATCAGATGGACGGACGCTCCTATGTGATAAACATCCCAACTCACCTCCGTACACATCCAGTTTTTCACGCCTCAAAGCTGGCACCTTTCGCAGAAACTGCACAGTGTCCCTCCAGACGGTCAATGCTGCCCCCAACCATGGATGATGAAGTCGACATCGATGGAATCGTGGAGCATCGAATGATGCCATTGCCTAAACCGCCTGGCAGAGGCCGCCCTCCTAAGCCGAGAATGCAATACCATGTCGGATTCAGACATCATCTGGATCCCGGGGGAAATCGGTGGTTCACCAGAGAAGAACTCATGCGAACAGCACCTAAAGTTATTGCAGGCTATGAAAGAGAACTCAAGAGGAAGATGCCTACAGAATAGAAGACTTCTCAGAGGACTGTCGAAGTACAGGAGGAGGGAATGCGAGGATCTGGGTCCTCGGCAGGCCTAAGGGCCCCTGTTACAGAAGTGCCTGCCCTAAGTGAAGGCGGGCTTAACAAATCGAGAGAGGCCCTCTGCTGTCAATTTCGTATTTGGGGTCCAGGCAGTTGAGACGCGCCAGTTGGTTGAGGGAAACACAGGCCGAGCAGCAAAGAGATTCCACAGCCTTCCAGGCATTTCCGGAAAATGCAGGCCCTGGGCAAGGATCGCAGCCTCATACATAGACAGTTGGGAGGCCGAACCGAACGAGGTCCAGCAGCTGCATCGGAGGCACAGCCTCCTGGGGCCTACTGGAAGCTTCTGGGCAGAGGCCCAGGCCAGTCAGGCCACTGGAGGAGGCAGGCTCTTTCCATATAGGAAAGAGCTCGCTACCGGAGCTCTCATTCGGGCACTTGCATGCTAGCGGCAGCTGCTGGAGCAGAAGCTCGTGGTCTGCTGCAGGCACTGAGATGCAAGGTGCAAGCACGTGCGGTCGTTTGTGAGTGAGGGCGCTGCTGAGGGCAGCGCCATAGCCCAGCCTCCATAGCTGGTTGGGGCTTGGACTACAGTGTGCGCAGGGGTGGTCTTCGGGTGTACAGAGGGAAGACGTGAGTGTAAGTCAGGGGAGAGAGAGAAGGATGATGATGATGATGATGTGAGGGCACATACCTGGTATTGGCGATGGTCTCCTTCGGGTGACATCTTCAAGTACTTCGTTGGTCGCTGACGTCAACAGTTGCATTGTCAATTAGTAGGCAGGCAGTAGCTGTGTAGGAAGTGGGCTGTGCGCCGAGCGCCAAGTAGGGAGGAGGGACTGGACTCTTATGTTGGCGGTGGCGAGAGCAAGCTCTCATTGACATTGGTTTTTAGTGTTACGATTCTTCATTGGTGTTATATTGGTGCAATTCTGCTTTCTGGACACTGTGATACCATCTGGCCTTCAATGTGATTGTGCATTCTGGATACTGTCATCTCGCTAATGCTCATTTTCCTTGCACAAGGTTTTTTTTTTTGTTTTTTTTTTTGTTTTACACTCACAAGACACAGCTAGGGGTAATGGTGAAAGGATATACCCCTAGCTATCCTTGCATGTGAGAAAGAAATTATTTTTCTTTGTCTGTTTCTTTTCCTTTGTTTTCTTTGTGGTCCCTTTCCAGTTTACATCATCAGGTGAGGCGTGGTGAAAACGTGTCAGGGGCGGGAGAATGGCATTTTTGCACTCTCCAAACATGATGATGTGATTTTGTTTGTTTGAACGTGTAGGTGAAAACTGGCGTTGAAGGTGCAGAGGAAAGTGGAGAGGTGGAAGAATGGTTCAATCGCCGAATGCGTCGGATTGCGCCGGAGATATGCGCATCGTACCTAGGCAGTTTTGTCTCCGATGCGACCCGTGGGCAGTTCACAGAGGGTGGCAGATGGCTGGTCTGGGACTATGAGGTGAGAAAAACCCTGCCTGGTACTGCTGCAAAGATTGGAGTCATTGCAAACTTGCGAACAGGAAAGGGGAAGGAGCTGGATTAGGTGAAATGATCACGACGACGACGACGGCGAAGAAGAAGAAGAAGAAGAAGAAGAAGAAGAAGAAGAAGAAGAAGAAGAAGAAGAAGAAGAGAAGGAGAAAAAGAAGAAGAAGAAGAAGAAGCGGAAGCAGCAGCAGCAGCAGCAGCAGCAGCAGCAGCAGCAGCAGCAGCAGCAGCAGCAGAAGCAGAAGAAGAAGAAAAAGAAGAAGAAGAAGAGGAAGAAGAACCGGTGGTAGTAATAATATTGCAAGGAAATAAGCAATGCGAATAGCAATAAACCAGACTGCGACATCTCACAGAAGACCAGACATCATTGAGCCGAAATTGAAAACAGAAATCAATGCGAGATGAAAACCAAATAGGAGCGAGCAAAACACTACAGTCTCTTGATAAAGAACGCCTTTCCAACGTCTCCAGACATCAGTGCAACAACAATGTAGCCCTCCTATAGGCGTACTGGACGCCGACTCTACCTCCTATCACTCCTATAAATCTAGCCTACCTACACCAGCAACCACTCCGCGTCATATCAGTCCAGTGCCGCTTGAAGACTTTCTGATCGAACAACTTGCCTGTGTCAACGCCACGTATGTGCCTCGTTCACACCACTTCTCTCCCTTGTCCTCCACCCCTTGTTCCACCAAGGACCTCAGCTACTTCCACCACCACGGCTCTGGAGCGCTCAGCCTGGCTATGGCTGGCGCTCTCCCTTCTTCTTTCTCATTGCCACTGCAGCAGCTTCTTGCGGACACAATGCACAGCTATTGGTCCGGACAGCTATCTAAGCGGGGGACTTTGTCAGCCTCTGCCATTGGGGCCTTCAGACTTCCATCTCAGCGCACGCCTCTACCTGTCTATCAAAGTTTGAGGCCCCAGTAGGGGCAGCGGTCACTCCTATTGGCCATTCCTTTTTGGCGGTTGAGACGGGGCACCTTTGCCATTCCTTTTTGGGGGTTGAGACTGCGCACCATAAAAATAGGGATGAAAAGCTATTTTATCTACAGAAGAGTTTATGCCCAATGGATTAGAGGATGGGATAGGTAGATCGGAGGACGAGGAGGATCAGGTAGGTAGATCGGAAGACGAGGAGGAACAGATAGATAGATGGGAAGAAAAGAAGAATCCGATAGGTAGATCGGAAGAAAAGGAGAATCAGATAGGTAGATCGGAAGAAAAGAAGGATCAGATTGGGAGATTGGAAGAAACGAAGGATCAAGTAAATAGATCGGAATAAAAGAAGGATCTGATTCATTGTTCATTATCAGTGCATAACATTACTCACCAATGTGCATGCCAGCGTCTCTCACAATGGAGAAATCGCAAGGCATGGTAGACAACACCGCTCCATCCCAATTCCACCACACCAACACGAGACCCAATAGGACGTCAAGCTGCACCATTTACTATCTGAAGAATAGCCACTTCGTTCGGTGGGTACCTACGCGGTCCCCTAAACCCATAACCACTGTTGTTGGAGAGGGCATAATTGCCCCCTCCTCCACCTCGGACAGCGGGAGGGGGGGTCCCTGACCACCTTGTGGGGTACCATAGCCCCTACCACCCGCTTGGAAGCCCCCTCGGCCTCCAAACCCCCGAGCGGCCTGCCCCGGCCTCCACCTCTTCCTCCAAGGCCTCCTCTTCCTCGGTCACATCCTCGCCCTCCCCTACGGGCTGCCACCGTTGCGTAGCGGCCTTCCTTGGCTACTTGACCTCCCTCAAACTGCTTGAATTCTAAGTGCCCATCCATAGTCAACTTGCTCAATGGGGATTTCCTTTGCGCCTCCTCGCTCAAAAGTGACTGAGAGCCTGTCTCTGGCCTATATGTTGCCCGAGATTGTTTTGCCCTGCCACTTCTTACCTCTCTCTATGTCTCTGTAGTAGTGGAAGTTGGGTTGCGCTAGGAATCTGGCCTGATCTAGCATGTACTTGCTAAAATCAGCGTAGCTTGCCCCCTTGTTCTGTATCCCTGCATACAGTTGGGATTTCAGTGGCTCAGGCAAGGCCATAGCAAAGTGCCCTAGGATCTGTCTGGGTGTAAGTCCGCAATCTGGCACCTGCAGCAGGTCATCTATGTAGGCTTTCAGGGCATTGACACTCTTCCAGTGTCCCCTTTGCACATTCAGCAGTTTCTCTGCAGTTCTCCTCCCTCTAGTTGTATCTTCAAACCTCTTGTACATCGCGTGTAGGAAGACACTCAGGGAGGTGATGCGAGAATACTGGAATACGCCCCTCCCACATCCAGCCTGCTCCACCAACGAAATCGCATGGCCAGCTGCCTCTCCTCCCAAACATGACACAGCCAGCATTACCTGCCCAGACGTTGCCACCTTCTGGCCATACACATAGCTTCTTATGGCCGTGTCCCACTGCATGAAATTTTCTTATTTTTTCTCCTTATAGGTCTAGGGCATCTTCATCTTAATTTTGTCCCTGGCGTCCTCATCATCTTCATCCTTCGCATTCGCCTTTGCCTTGCCTTTGCCCTTCTTAGCTCCTCTCTTCTTCTTATCATCGTCATCATCGTCATCTGGGGGCCCACCATCTCCACCATCTCCACCTGCACCCTTCCTCATGCATGTGTTGTGGATATAGGACTCTATCTGAAGGGTATGGTGTGAAACCTTCTCGTTTATCTTGTGGAGAGTGGTGGTGGCAAAATTATTCCACTTATCTTAAAACCCTTCCTGATTGGCGGCAAGCTTCTATACAGAATTACACAACACAGCGGACTCCTTCGCAGCCTGGAGGGCGGCCTCTACAAGTAGCCCAATTTGATCTTTTATTTCAGTCTTTGCCTCCCCATTTGCCTACTCCTTCAGCCTGGCGGCTATGGCCGCTTCATCCTCCATTCACGTGGTTAGCCGGGGGTGTTTTGTTTTGCCGAATTTTGCACTGAAACTGTCATATTGCCTTGATTTTTTGCTTTTTTTCTTGTTTTTCTTTGTGTGTGATATGTAGGTGCTTTAGGGTACGTCATGAGTCCAGTTTCGACATGTTTGGATCATTAATGAAAAAGTTGGCATTTCGTTGGATTCGTTGAATGCTTCATTTTAACTCGGAGATAGTGTTTTTGCGTTTTTTTTTTTTTTTTCGTTTTCTTAGGCCTGTTTTTATTTTTACTTTTTATTTTATGTTTGCATTATGGGCCTGTATAGTTGTTTTGAAATTCTTGCTGAAAATTGCACCGAAACTGTTGGCAAAAAAAGCGAAATTCCGATTATTTTCGGCCCTTCCTTAACCGCGTGTCGGGACTGGGACCAATTGGGACTCTGGGATCGGGACTGGGCAGGAGTAGCCTGAAATCCTTTCAAAATGTGGTTGTAAGCTAGACTGTTTTTCTGGGCGCCGGGCACCCAACTTATGCCTGGGTACACGGCCGGGTATGACCCCCAGGCAGGGTTCCGGGCAGCCCCAGAGCAAAAAACAAACAAACAAAAAATTCAAAAACTTCCGGAAAAAAAACTATGTTGTGTAGAATTGTAATACAAACGACTTTTGGCTGAGGTTCACATCAAAATTCCTCACAGAATCGGAGATTAAAAAAAAAAAAAAAACAGAATCACACTAAGGCACCCCCCTTTAAAACCCTTTAGCCCCCTTAAAACCAATTTATACCCCCCTTCCCGCCCCTTGACAGCCAACTCTCAAAGAAAGAAGTGAGCCCGGATCTGGGGTCCTCTGAGAGAGTGCAGAAAACCAAAAAACATGTTGTTTTAAAATTATTTATATTTTTATTTTTTGCACTCCCGGCTACCCTGGGCATCACGTCTGGGTGCCCAGCCGGACAGGACCAGCCGGGCGTGACAATATTCCTATTTAAAAGTTTGCTGACTCGTCAGTAGGCACTGGTGTTTGGAAAGAGTGGATGTGTCGGTGCAGTGATGGGTATGTACTATGTCGATGGGAGTTGCGCCTCCATAGAACCTGCATTAATGTTTAGTGTGCAATGCAAAGTTTGCTCGTCGCGTAGAGTCTTCACCCGAATAGAACGCCCGGTCATTCACGCTGCATCTGGACTGAATGTTGCCCCAAATACAGATATACTGATCGGGTGACACTGTCCTATTCGGGTGAAGATGGTAGGTAAATTGGAAATTGCTGGCGTAAGTATTGGTGATGATAAGCCTGCCTTCATCAGCGGGGCGCTGGCTTTGGGAGAGAGTGGGTGTGTTGGCGCACCTATGAGTACAGAGATGAGCCTTTGCCCTCTCTTGCATCAATGCCCCTACTCGTTTGGCTATACATCTCTTCTTCTTTTCTGTGCTTTCTTCCTTTATCCTCTCCCTCTTTCTTTTGTCTCTTTGCTTCTGTCGGCGTTTTCATGAGCCAGCTATGTCTATGCAGGTGTATCGCTGATTTTCATCCGATGCATTGATGCTGAGCGATCAGCCTCACTCTTTTCGCTTCAATTCAGCTTTTCTTCTTCTCCCGTTTCCCTTGCTCTGTATTAGTCATTTTTAACTTGGTGCCTTTTCTGTGGCCTTGGCAATGTTAAGAAGGTTTGTGTTTTTTCTTTTTTTTTTTATAAAAAGGGTTGTGAGGTGTCGGGGATATTGCCCTAGGAGGAAGTCTGGAAGGGAACTTCACACGCCGGGTTCAGCCCACCCGTCGGCACAGCGGGCCCACCCACTTACTCAGAAACAGTCAAGATCGGAACTCTCAGCATGGAGGGAGAATAGAGGCCTTGCTACACACACCGGGAGTATCAGTGTCTATGTCATATTTAACTCTCTACAACCTCCAGTGATGTGTTATAGAACTCTCTCGTGGTAGCGGCTATACGCTGGGCAGCTTTGGGAGAGAGTGGGTGTGTTTTCATCCACCTCTATGAGTGGGTAGATAGACGTTGTGCATGTGCGTTTGCCTGTCCAATACAAGAATCGAACATGGAACCTACGACATGCCAGGCACAGAGTGGGTGTGTTGATCCACCTATATGAGTGGGTACATGGACACTGTGCATGCGCATATGCATGCCCAATCCAAGAATCGAACACGCAACCTACGGCTTGCCAGGCAGATACCTAACCGATGGGCTAAGTGGGCTGGGGTGAAACTGAAGCCCCGAGATGAGCACTTCACCCCGCCCCAGCACAGGTTTCTTTCTCCATGACCAGGGTACCCCAACCACACTCATCCCACACGCCGCACAGCCACACAACCATAATATAACTTCTACAACGGTCATTGGCTATTCCTATTTTTATTTTTCGTCTTTGTCATAAGGGTGAAACGGTTTTCACCTTTTTGCAGTCACAGATGTGGATCCCAGGGCCCGATCCCCAGACCTTACCTTACCTTACCTTACCTGTGTACAATATCAAGTCGACCCTGTGTGTCTTGAACCCGTGACCTGTGTGTTAGTAGTTGAAAGTTGTCTGTCGTAGGTCTGAGTAGTTATCGGGTCTTGAACCTTAGACCTGTCAAAGTAGGGGTCATATCTGCGTAGGGGTCATAGTTGTTGTAGTCCTGAAAGGTCAAGGTCGTAGCTGCTACAGTCCTGAAAGGTCAAGGTCGTAGCTGCTAGAGTCCTGAAAGGCCAAGTCCGCAAACTTCCGGAAGGTCCGGAAGTGGCCTTTCAAGTTTCTTCTCACGTTATACACAGCAGACCAGAGGCAAGTGGGCAAGTGGTGAGTCCAACTTCGTTTAGTCAGCGGTACCCAGTCCCAGTCTCACTTTGTACAGTCAGCAAGTACCGTGAGGGACTGTGTGCACCATGGGCCCAGTGGAAAAGGGAAGACCGGCGACTTACAGAAGTATAAATCAAGAGGCAGCGTCCAGCCATTCATTCATTTCTGCGTGAGCCATGCGGAAGCGCTGTCCTAGCGTCTTTGTGCGAGGTGGTGTGCAGATTGCCCGAAGTCGAAGTGGGCAGAAGCGGAGTCAGAGTAGCCATAGCTGCCTGTAGGAGAGATAGCCGGCGGCCATAGCTGCCAATAGCTAGTGATAGGTACTACTACGGTAGTGTGTATGTGCGTGAGAGACACAGAGTGAGTGTGCGTGGAGTATCCAGGGAGATCCAGAGTTAAGTGTGAGTGTGTGTGAACAGTTGGTCGGGACCACGAGTTGGGAAGGATGTTGGGCGCTGAGGCGCCATAGCCAGCTAAAAGCGAGTTTGCATCTGAACTGTGTTCTCGACTTGAATATCTCTGAGATTTGTGTGGGCGCACAGCGCCAGTGTACATCTCCATCTGTTTGCATGCATGCGAGTTGAAGAAGAAAGTGAGTCTGATTGCAAGGCAACGGCCTTGAGGGCAAAAGAGGAATTCTGAGGGTAAAAGACCTGTGGGACACAGTCACAAGGGATTGGAAAACAGCTGAGCAGTTAAGGACAACCCTTAAATATGCCCACCAACTATCCACAAACTTGGAACAAATCATCTTCGCCATCCCGCTGGCTTGGATAAGGACTCTTACAAAAGGACAACCCTAATTTCAAGGAAGCGGACTGGGTGGTAGGGTTTCAGCAAGATGATCAGCAATGCATAGGGCAGGTAGTTCAGCTAGATGAGGATGGGGCCTTTGTCGACCTGATGTCGATTAATAATGACCATCTCCTGTTTAAATCTCAGGATGATGAAGTCCTCTTCTTCCCTTTCTTTACAATGTACCGGATCAGAGTACTATATGCTCCCTCAGTTAAAGGATGGAGGGCCTTCCACCCAGAACTCCCCATCCCAGGCCTCCCTTTCGATCAGGAGGAATGGATGTGGCAGACCTTTGAGAAAGGAAAACCAAGAATCCTTCTTTCGCTCTCGGTCAAATCTACCTATAGGATGGTGAGACCCAAAGTGGATGTCTTGATAAAATAGTACAAGAAAGATGGGCGTGCCATTTGAATATTGACAATTTGACATCAATCTGCTAAAAAGATTAAACTTTTTTAAATATTGTAAAAAACGAGGCCCGGTAAAGTTCACATCCTTGTAGTGCGCAGATAACCCACCGTTGTCTGCCCACCAATGATTGGCCAATTGATCACTCCTCATTTGAGCAAAGGGGTCTTGCTGTCCCATGGTGTAATTTTTGTTTGTCGGCTTTTCCCAGCCGGAAGATTTGCGAGACCATAGAAAACATCTGCAATGCCCCAGTGCTGTCCTCTTGTGGACACGCTGGGACGGCATGTGAAGGAAACTCACAGGAAGGGTGTGGTATTAGGAGTGCAGAAGCGCATTGTTGGGTCATTGGGACCCTGCAGATGGTCAACTCTCCTCATTTCAACACAACTTATATTCGATTGGACGACAAATGATGCTATGGACGCTTTGGTATAGAAGGTGCGTTCATGAAAGAGAGAAAGTCAAACTTGAGGGTAAGGAAACAAATGAAAATCTGGTACAGATGGTACATACAGAGATTCCTTCTCAGTGGATAAACCTCAAAACTAAGTTAAATATGCTCTAACAAATAGAAGATATTCAGATCTCTATTCGAGAATTTTTGATAAGGATTGGCTGGGGAGAAATGAGGGAGAACGTCTGGGTGCGGTAAACTGGCCAGGAGAAACAAGGACAGAAGTCCCCGTCAAACGTGATTTCCACTGGGAATTCAAGCACTGGTGCTCACTTCATGCAGGCGATTCCCTCAGATCTCCGGATTACTTCCCCGACCCTTCCCCCCCTTCAAATTTAGCTTTGGTGGACATGTCTTGGCTTGGCAGGGATGAGAGTAAAATCAGAATGAAACGATACATGGATGCAAGGGCAGATTCAGCTAGTTGTGTCATGATTCGGCTGGCAGCCCATGGAGGGCTGAAGAGGCTGGGTAGCTCTTGGCTTATACCGTCATGTATCATTAAAAAAAAGAAAAAAAAAGAAGGATACTACAGTCTTCCCCCGAATACAACGCAAGGTCATTATAGCTGAATTTGGTGTATCTTTCAGTCTAAATTCAGCTATAATGACCGTACGTTGTATTCGGGGGAAGACTGGGCAGGAGGTCAATCCTTCCGTACAACTCGGAAGTAATCAATGCCTCTGCTCTGTGGGAAGATATTTTAGATACGGTGGAACGGGACTTTGGTTTCATACGACAAACAGATTCTACGAACACATTCACACAGTATTGGATGCATAGTATGACATCTTCACATATCATTGTACAGGGACGCTGGACCCGATTTCCAGTTGATACTCATCACATCATTGTATAGGAATGCTGGACCCGATTTCCAGCAGGTGCAGCTCCCCACCAATCGATGGAGCCTTCAACGCTGGGGCCCACTTAACGGGGATGCTCTTATCACCTCATTAAGTGGGTTTCCCCACATACGAAGTTTCAACAAAAAAGAAAAGAAGAGAAGGGCATCGGCCTTGAGATATCAGAACTGACCGGCGGCCCTTGGTATTGAGAACTTCGTATTTCATTCTGTTCATCTGATTGCGTCTGGATTTGAACTTGGGTCTGTATTTCAACAGTTGAGCGGGTGTGTCTACTGACCAGCCCCATCGGCCATCCCTATCGCCTCCACTAATGGGTATTGACTCTGTTGTGGTAGCGGTGATATGCAGGGCGACTCCACCCTCGCAGATTTCATGAAGGCAAGAGACTTTCCAGATAATCTAGAGGAACCGCTGTTTGGGACCGCTCTTAGAGCCACACAACGGATGTCGAGGCAATCTCTCATAATCAAGAAGATAATGCGACAGATAATCGGTGGTCTGAAGAAGATGCACGCAACAGGGATCGTTCATCGAGATGTCAAGCCGTCCAACCTGATGGTTGTGGATGCTGGTCGTCTGAAGCTGATCGATTTCGGGGCGGCGACGGACCTGAGGGTCGGCAAGAATTATGTTCCCGACCAAGCCATCCTGGACCCAGACTACTGCCCGCCGGAGCAGTTGGTTCTCCCGGAGGACACCCCCGAACCACCTCCCGGTCCTCTTGCAGCTGTGCTCTCACCTATTCTTTGGCAGGTACGCAGCTTCCGTCGCTATCCCCTGTCCTCTCTGACACCCCCGAACAACCTCCCGAACCTCTTGCAGAGTTGTTCTCACTTATTCTTTGGCAGGTACGAACCCTCCATCAAAAATCCCTGCCCTCTTTGAAACCCCCAAACCACCCCCCGACCCTCCTGCAGCTGTGCTCTCACCTATCCTTTTGTTTTTTTTTTTTTTTTCTTCTTTGTGAAGTGAACATTGCTCCAATCTGTTTGTGGGAAGTGTCACGTGCTGGGAATGGTACCCATCGTAAAAATTCTAGAGTCATTTAGATGCTGGGGCCGTTACCCGGCTTGGGCTCTGACCTATTCTTTGGCAGGTATGAGACCCCTGGATCATCTTCCAACTCTCTTGCAGCTGTGTTCTCAGTTTTTATTTTATTTTTAATTTTTATACAAGACCGGACGGGGCTACTGTGAGGAGTGATATGAGAAGCTCCTCATGGTAGACCTGTTGCTGGTTGCCCCGGTTTATTGGTGAGGGGTGCCACCTGCTGGAAACGGGGTTCAGCGTCCCTTACATAAACCATAGGTTCCATTTAACAGTTTGTGTCCCCTGCGTCTCACCTATTGTTTGGCAGGTAGGGATCTTCCATCGCTGGTCCCTGTCCTCTGTGACGTCTTACAAATCTTTAGCCTTTTTTTTTTTTCTTTTTTTTTTCCCCCTAACTACTTAGAATTTAGAAATGATGATGATGATAGAAAAAAAAAAAAAGAAAAAAGAAATGATGATGATATCTGACTAAAGTTACTGAACCCCTCAGGATATCCGTCAAAACTCGAAATTGGAACCATACTTGCGAAGTTGCGATACAGAGAAACATTGGCGCGCCCCCTGTGCAAGGATGCGAGTTCGGCCTCTGATAGCATAGCAGGGGAGGCAGACATCCAAATGCTTACTGACATCCAGAAGCTAGAAACTTGTCAAGTTTGCCTCTAATCTGACACAGAGGAAGCTACCGTCTTCCACCGAATAGAATGGCCGCACTGCCCGGTCATTATCGCTGTATTCCGGGCAACATGCAGTCCACATACACAGCCATAATGACCGGGCGTTCTATTCGGGTGCAGACGGTAGAGCGGCCAGGGATGTGAAAGGACATGCAATTGGCCACAGTACGGGAGCTGTCAGTCATGCAACATGAGGGACACTGGAGCCGGTCTCCAGCAAGTCCAGCTCCCCACCAATAGATGGAGTCTCCAACCCGGGTGCCACTTCAGGAGGCTGCTTGTATCACCTCTGCAAGTGATGTCCGTTACTCGAAGTTAAAAAATAGAGAAAGCAAAAAGAAAAAAGGATGGGATCTTGACCTCAAATGCAAATGTTAAATGAGACTTGATTTGAGAAGCTCACATCCTGGATTTGAGGGGTGCCAGATGTTGACGGAGTGTGCCACATGTCAGAGGAGGGTGGCAAATGTTGAGGACTTGATTGATTAGTCTCGCTCAGTTGGTACACCCATGATCTGTTCAAATACTGACCTGATTTCGAACCCAGATGAAGCCAGATGGAGAAAAAAAGTTAAAAAAACAAAACAGATGAAGCCAGACGAATGGAATTCCTGAATTACCTGGGGCCGGTCCGTTCAACGATGATATCTCAAGGCCATCACGGCGCCACCGTTTTAAATAAAAGTAAAAAGAATCGAGAAACAAAAAAAGATCAGCAGTCAAAGGTAGGTAGGTGTACACTACGTCCTTCGGGACATCTATTAAAATTGGAATGATACCGAGAAGGGTAATTAGCGGATGAGCATGGCCCCTGCGCAAGGATGACACGAGTAATTTGGGAAATGGTATCCGATGTGAGAGTGGCGGCGTGCTCTACCTACCAGGCTCTTCCCTTCCGCTGGTGAGCCAAAGTAATGTTATATTTTAATTCTTCCTGGATTTGGTATTATCAGTCATGTGATTTCTACTTTTTCAAGAAAGCCTGTATTTGGCTATTTGGGCATGGTTTATGGTGCGTCGTGTAAGGCGTATTTCGTCGATACCGGACGCCCACCAAAGGCAGGCAGGCACGAAGTGCAGCAAGACGTGCTGGACACGAAAGCAAGACGCAAAGAAGTGGGATATGTGGTAATTTGGCTATTTGGGTTGGAATTGTTTCAGTATTTTTGACTTCCTAATAGTTCTTATTATTCTTTTCGTTTACTTTTTTCAGATTTTCAAACTTTTCTTGCTCCAACCAACGCTTTTTAAGCGAGACATCGAAAGATGTCATGATGCTCGTATTCTGATGGCAATCCCTGTAATACTTTTGGCTTTTGAAAGAAGTCTTTTTGTAGGATATTTGATATTTGGCCAAATATATGATGATTGGCTTAGGTAATCTCGTCTTTGGGCAAATTCTATTTTCATACTACCAATTTAGTACCAAATAAGGAAATTTTGTTTTCGTCAGAATTTGCCACTCCAAGAATGATGTAACTAATACCCATTTTGTTTAGTGCTATATGCGAGGAGTTGACTCCTCGGCAGGCCTAAGGGGCCCCTTATGCAAGTGTGCCCGCCCTAAGTGAAGGCGGGCCTAACAAATCACGAGAGGCCGAATGCTGTCAATTTCATATTTGGGGTTCAGGGAATCTGCGTTGTGCAGATGCATAGACCCCTTCCCGACTTCTGATGAGATTGTCAGTGCTTTCCCAGTTGTGTCGCATCAGTTGGTTGAGGGAACCCAGGTCCTGAGCAGCAAATACTTTCCACGGCCTTCTAGGCCTTTTCTGAAAGGCAGGCCCTGGGCCACATTCGCAGCAATACACACAGACAGTTGGGAGGCGTAACTGAACGAGGCCCAGCAGCAGCAGCAGAAGCCCAACTACCTGGGGCCTACCGGAAGCTTCTGGGCGCAGGCCCAGCCCAGCCAGACCGCAGGCCAGGGCAGATTCTTTCCATATAGGAAAGAGTTCGCTGCCTGGCATGTCATTTGGGCACATGCTAGTTCGCGGCAGCGCTGCTGGAGCGAGTGCTCGCGGGCTGCTGCTAGCGCAGAGCATGGTGCAGCGCACGTGCGGTCGTGAAGAAAGAAGGGCGCTGCTGAGGGCAGCGCCATAGCCCAGCCTCCACAGCTGGCTGAGTCTTGGTGTTACAGCAAGGCGTAGTGGTGGTCTTCGGGTGTAAAGAAGGAAGACGAGGAAGAAAGATGAGGAAGAAAGACGAGGGGGAGAGAGAGAGAGAAGTGGAGATGAGGATAACAATGGGAGGGCTCATACCTGGTATTGGCAATGGTCTGCATTGGGCGACATCTTCATGTACTTCGGTGGCTGCTGACGTCAACAGTTGCATTGTCAACTCGTAGGCAGATAGTAGCTGTGTGGGAAGTAGTCTGGGCGTCGAGTGCCAAGTAGGGGGAAGGGCCTGGACATTTATGTTGGTGATGGCGAGAGTAAGCTCTCATTGACATTGGGTTTCAGTGTTTCGATTCTCCATTGGTGTAATATTGATGCAATGCTGCTTTCTGGAAAAGGGCCTTCCTACACCATTGCATTTGAGGTGCACATCACATAACCTTTCTGAGCAGAAAGAGGATAGAAGGTGATATGTCATGATTACTGATTGTTGAAAGCAAAAAAAAAAAAAAAGTATAGAAGGTCAGTGCACGGACATCTATGCCCACGAAGTTTGAAGTCTGAACACACTTTTAAATAGGAAAGCTGAGCTACCAAGTGGGCTGCCTGGGTCCGCTTGGTTGCCTGGGCGGCCCAGCCGTGCAAATTCCGTGCAAGATCCATGCCTAAAAAATAAAATAAATCTGAAAAAAAAAACTACTATGATATGCAGAAAAATAAACAAAACAACTTTTGCCTCAGGGTCATATCAAAATTCTGTAAGGGATAGTATTTTGAATTTTTGTTGGGATTGTCATAGATTAGTGCTTTCGTGGTCACTCGGGCTGTTCTTTTTGGATTTTAGCAGTGACGTTTTTGTGATCTGTTTCCAGCGGTTGATTGCTAGTTAGAGGATAGTGTTTTGAATTTTTGTTGAGGATTGGCGTAGATTAGTGGGAATTTAGTGCTTTAGCGGTTACTCGGGCTGTTGTGGTTGGAATTGGGCGGTGACATTTTTTGTGATCGGTTAGTTAGGGTTTAATTTTTGGCGTTTAATTGCTAATAACGGCGGGATAGTATTTCGAATTTGTAGACAATTGCAGGATTAGGGTTTGTTTCCAGCCGCAACCAGAGTTCAGCTTGGCCAGAGTGCCTCGCTCATCTCAGACGGCCGTGGTACAAGATGTAAGGGACGCCAGGCGTGATTCCCAGCTATATGAATAAAATGGTTGGGTTTTCGGAAAAAAGAAGAAATTCTTTACCGAACTGAGAAATAAAAATAAATTTAAAGATGCTAGGTTACCCAGACGGATGCCCGGGTAACGCCCCGAGTGCGCCGGTTGTCCAATTGAATAACCAGGCCAATTGTCTGGCTGCCTCCACATGTCTCATCCCCGTGAAAAATAAAGGGGCCCCAGTTTTGGCCGTTTTGGGGCCGTGGGGGTGTGGCGGAGGAGAGCCGCTACCAGAGGAGGCCGTGGGATTTTTTCTGCAGAGACCGGTAGGCCTAACAAAAAAAAAAAACAAAAAAAAACAAAAGGGCCCAATCTCAGCCCTCAGATCTTGAAGATCAATGGCCCAGATTGGGCCTTTTTCGAACCGCTGCTGTAACAGTGTTTGCAGTGATCGTGGTGCCCACAGCAAACGCTGCAGCAGCGGTTGCTGCAAACACTGCTGCACCTGCTGGAGCTGCTGCAGGTGCCGAAGGCCTTTCTCTTTTCTTTTGAAAGGATTTCACGTTGCAGATACCCGAGTCCCGGTTCCAGGGTCCCAAATTATCCCAGTCCCAATTGGGCCCAGTCCCAGATGGTCCCAGTGCCACCTGTCCCAGTAGGTGAGTCCCAGGTAGGGTCATCAGGGTCCTCAGGTCCATAGGAGTCCGAAATGTCGTAAATCGATGCCGCTCTGGTACTGAGGAGGCAGACCGGTA